GGTGCGGGGGTCCCGCGGTGCTCGAGAGTCTCACCTACTGCTGCTCCCAGAGCATCCCAGAGCAGAGCGAACGTGTCCCGGCAGTTTCACGCCTCTGCCTGCGTAGCTTGGAGGCTGTGTTGCAGAAAACTACAGTAACGGAACGAGGAGCGTGCTGTAGTCCTGGTTGCTAATTTTTCTCCCCAAAACCTGTGGGCAAACTTGTGCAAATCTTACTTGTTCGCTAACTTAGTTTCTCAAGGGTGAGGCGACAAAACCCGTTACAAGGTTAGACAGTGTTCTGCAGGCAGCAGTCACATGCCGGGGGGAATGGATGGGGTGAGCGAGTAAAACTTGCCTGCCTTCTACCTAGTGTTCAGCGACTAGAGTAGATGTGTGGCCTGACTCTTCTGCTCTTGCGCTTGAGAAAGGTCAGGAACTTGTAGACGGGCCACCTGTGGTGTTCGTGGTGTGTGCCGAGATGAGCAGTGTGGGTGAGGCTCTGGACTGGCCCGTGTTCTCATGCTTGCACTGCTCCGTGAGCTAGTTTTCTCCCTTCTCCTTCCCTTCCTTTCCGCTGTGCTGTCATTCCTGCCGTGGTGTTAATAGGCCTTTGTATGCTCCCCTGTCTGCCTTTTAGGGTGCAGTTCTAGCTGTTGTTCAACGATTAATTTCCAGTAATGGCCACATTGTTACTCTGGGTTTTTTTTTGCTTTGGAGCTACTGATTATGTTGCAAGGTGAGTTGGTTAACTCAATCTTTTGGAAAACCCATGGTTTAATCATTTTTAGTAGGTTATCCATCTCATGGAGCCGCTAGCTGAGTCAAGTGATCTGATAGCCCAGTGATCACTAGATTATTGTAAGAGGAGGGTGCTGGAAGATGCGCTTGGAGTGGGTGTAATCCATGGTATTTTGTGTGGGAATAGCCTGTGTTTGGATCGGATTACACTAACATGGAGCTGCATCCTTAGATGAACTTGCCTGGGGAAATACTGTGCCTTTCCACTTTTGTGTTTGGGAAGGGTTTTGCTGGATAGCCCTGCTTGCTGTGAGTGACTTAAAATTCTTACCGCCCTTCTGCAAAGGGAGAGTATGCTTCTCTATCCATGCCCCCAAAAGGCCTTCTGCCTACACAGAGACCAAAATTTTTTGATGCCTCTCATCCCAGAGGTGTTTCAGTGGGATTCTGTTTGTGCTAGGACCTGATTTTAAGAAGATCTACATCAGTGTGGAACTCTCAAAAATGCTGGAAATCTTAAGAATCAGTGATGCTGTTTCCTGAGGAAACACAGATTGGTGGAGCAGAGCACCAAGTCAGAAGCCAGGTTTCTCCTTCTGGTGCAGGTGTTGAGGGTAAGGGTATGTGCTACAGCTAAGCTGAAGCTTGGTTACCTTCTTTTCCCTCTCACTGGCACTTGTGGCATCACAAGTGAGCTAATTCAACTCGCTGATCTGGCAGAAAATGATCTTTAGGGTAGCTTTTCTGCACAGTTAACAAGTTGATCTAGTGAGCACCAGAAGCGAGGTAAATGCTGGGAGGAACCTGCACGGGGAGGGTGAGGGTGCGCAAGGGAACAGAAATTGTCTCCGAATGGTAGCTGAGCTACCAGATAACTTGGTGTAATGTGTGTAGCTTCACTCTGACTCGCGTTTTAAACCCATTCGAAGTACTTCATTTATCTACCACAGTTTCTTTCTTTCAGAAAGTCTGTATTCTCTCCCTTCTCAATTTATTTATTTTCAGGCTTCATTTACTTCTTGTGGTGCTGCCCCCTGGGGAAGATCTTTAAGGCAATTGTCTTCTCCAGAGCTTTTATATTCTAGATGGGCTTATTGACCAACTGTTTCTAGCTGCAATAGAGTTGTGCCTGAAGACAGTAGTGGCCAGTTAGGAGGGGGTGTGTCTCAGTTGAGGAGAAGATGACTGCAGGGCAGAATTACCTATGGCCACTGCTGAAGCAGTGCAGGAAGCCAGTGCTGGATTAGTAGGGAGATGCCTGGGCAGGACTTGAGGGCAGAGGTAAAGATGCGTGGGGAAGACAGGACTGGAGCAGCAGCTATCTGCTTGTCAATTACAGAATTTTGCAGATTTTGAGGAGCAGTTTTGGAGCAGCAGTTCCCTGATTTAGTCAGCCATCCTCTGCAGCATTAATGCTGGGTTTTGCTTTTTGACCAGTACTTTAAAATCATCTTGCTGCCCTTAACGCCATTCCAGAATTTAAAAAGTTGTCTGGTCGAGACTATTGTTGCACCTCCTTTGCTGCTGCACTGGTCCGCTTGTTTACACACCTGGAAAAAGTTGTGTTTGGTGAAGGCTGTGAAGCTCGAAATCTCAGGATTTGAAAAGGTCTAGATCCAGGGGCTGTGCTGGTGCTGTGGGATCCTTGAAGCCTAGGGTTTTCATTTAGAGGTCTCTCGGTTACGTTGCAGGGGAGCCAGCTGGGGTTTTGGAAACAAACAGGCTGTCAGTGATATTGAGACTATCAGAAGCTTTTTTTTTTTTTTTAATCTTACATGGAATTATATCCTTCTAAAAAGTAAATTTTTTTTTTCAGTGAAATTCTGATGAATAATCACTGTTGCGCTTTCTCTTTTCTGACTCTAACCCCTCTTACCATTACTCTCTGTGTAGCCCATGTTTCTTGCTGCAGGAAACTTCCTGATCATTCCAATGTGTTATTCTTCTGCTAAGCACTCTCTTCAGTCTTGCTTCTCTTCCTCTTGGCTGATGAAAGCCTTCTCCAGTCCTTCCTCAGTCCTGAGGTTCACTGCAACTCATCTTTCTGCTGCTGGAAGATCTCTCTGGCTCTGCATGACCTCTTTAGCGGCTTTCCCCTCACAAGTGTTGCCAGCGAACCCTTCATCCACCCTGCTTCTGACTCCATTCCTCCTGAAAGCAACTTGCCACCACAGATACTAGCTGACAGTCTAATGTTCAAGTTACGATTTGTCAGGAACAACAAGTAGCTGGAAAGTCCATGTGATCAGAGAAAGAAAGAAACAGTCGAGGGCTGTGGGCTAAACTGGGAGAAGGAGGGACCGAGTTGGTATATCTGCAGTAGGGCAGCGGAGTTGTGGGATAATTATACCTCTGTGGGACTGGAGGAAGAGAGGATCAGAAGTTGCCAAAGTGCAGTGGGAGACTGGAACCACAGTGCAATTTGCCTCAGCTCACTAGCCTCTTTGGAAGGAGAGGTGATCAGGTCTGTAACCAAATGATTGAATGAGCTGCAGCTGCTCCTTCACTCTGCTGCCTTTTTAAGAGTTCAGGATGCTGTAGCTTCCAGCTGTAGCATGGCAATAAAAATATGAGAATGTGTGCGTTACATTTCTGACTGTGGTAATAAAAGATTTAAACCGTGAGTATAATTTCTGGATGATTTCAGAACCCTGGCATCCCCAGTCCCCTGTGATGTAGCAAAGCTATGCAAGGAGCCCGGTACTGGGATATTCCAGTAAAAAAGCTGTGTAATGCAGTGAAATAGGGTTTGGTTCTTTCTCTAGCCTGACTTAGTTTCCAATTCTCTCAATGTAGATCTGGAGTCCATCTCAGCCTGAGCTCCTGGGATCCTGTCACCATGGAGACCGAAAGTGAGCAGAACTCCAGCTCCACCAGCGGGAGCTCCAGTTCTGGAGGAAGCACCCGTCCTCAGATATCGCAGATGTCTCTCTATGAGCGACAGGCAGTACAGGTGAGACGTGGTTATGTTCTGGGGTGGCATGTGCGTCAGTGGAAGGTGGTGGTGAGCCCTTCCGTGTTCCTCTGAGTTGTCGTGTGTCAAGGTGGGAGCACGCTCGAAGGACTGTCATGTTTTCAGATTTAGAAATTCTTGTGCTAGGCCCAATGTTTAGTTCCTGTAGCCTGATATTGTGCTTCATGTTTTATAGGTTACTCCTCCACTGTCCAGCCTCTTAGATTTAACCCGTGCGGTGATCCAATAGCTTGATTTTTAGCCTGCTGTTCTGGAGCAAGTCATTCAGTTTATCATCCCTGTTCCTCTATATAGTGTATATCCTCCATAATACATACTATACTGGAACACTTGTCTGCCTGCTTGAGCACGCATATCCCCGAGTTCGTGGAGTTTATTAAAGTCTTGCAAGTGTGCTTCCCGCTGTCCTGGAATACACCTGTGATTCAGTCTGTTACCAAATTTGTAGCTGTACTACGTATTTTGATGTGCTAATCTAGTGACTTTGCTTTTTTCATGGCGGACCATAGGGATGGTCTCATGGCTGTTATTTATTTCTTCATTGCTCTCTCTAATCACGTTTCAAGGGCACGCTATTTTTGACAATTGGGTTTTCCTCTTTCTCTAGGCCCTGCAGGCACTCCAGAGACAGCCCAATGCAGCCCAGTACTTTCATCAGTTTATGCTCCAGCAGCAGCTTAACAGTGCCCAGCTTCACAGCCTGGCTGCTGTCCAGCAGGTGAGTTGCCAAGGGGCAGAAGGAGAGGAATTGGATCGTTCTGTGGGGAAGATCCAGAGATTCTCTCTTTATACAGTGACTTGTGCACCGAGGTCATCCTGATCCATGATGAGACAACGAGTCCCTGAACACATTGTTTAAAGCTAATACAAACAGCTAGTAAACTGGAAGCCTGATGCAAAGATTCATTTGGTTTTCAGGTACAGAGCAGGGGAAGATAAAATTTGGCATCCCCAACAGGAAATTTGCACTTCAGAGGCCTGTGACTAGCCCCTGAACCTTCTTTAAATAAAAGATGGGTGGTTAAATCATCAGGGGATGCAGTAGTGTTTAAAAACTGTATTAAAGTGAACCATGGATTGTTACTTCTCTGAGAATAAATATGGTCTCGTGTGCGTGAAATTTCAGGCAGTATCCTCTGAATTTTCTGCCCTGAAACTTAGTAGCCCATGTTTTCTTTACCAGTTACTAGCAAGAGGGATCTGGGGTAGATCTTGTCCAGCCAGGAGGGTGTTTCTTTAATTGAGATACATTTATACAAATTGAGATATTTTATGATGCATAACTGTTGAGTGATTTTTTTCTTTTTCTTTAGCAACTTTGCTTACCTACCAGACTTTATCATCAGTTGAAGACGGATTATGTGTGACATGAATACAGTTCTGTCTGTGTAACAATATCTCCGTCAGTAGCTGTGCTCCTTGGCTGTTAGTCCAGGATTTAGTTGTTCTCAAAATCCCTACCTGCAGTTTTATAGCATAGAGGGAATAGAATAATCTCACCAATTTTGCACAAATCTTAGTTATAAAACTAGCTAAACTCATACAGTGGAATTCCTGTGGGATCATGGGGGGGTGGGGTGGTGGGGGTGGAAATTTTAACAATATTTACATTCCTCCATGAACCATGTGTGCTGTAATCTGCAATTTGTTACTTGGAGTGCTATCATTGCATTGTTACTAAACTGCCTAACTAGCCCAGCAAATTGTTAATACTGCGGGGAACGTCTGGGTGGTAACAGTGGATTGCAGCATCAGGATGAGGGTTGCAGTGTGTAGCGTGACAAGCTGGGGCAACAGCAGGGTATGTACCCATGGGTGGAAGGACTGGAGGTCATGCACTGTAAGGGTCTGTTGTCTACTACCTTGGGTAGTGTATAGGGCTGAACTGGTTGGGGAAGAGGAGGTTCCTTGCTGAGTTGCTGCACCTGATTTGTAGGGCACAGCAGAGATTTGTAGTGGTTAGATTGTGCTCCTGTTCTCAGAAATGGGAGAAGATGATGATGGGACTAGGTGTTCTGACAAAGCCAAATATTTGGGCTGGATTGAAAAGTTTGTTCCAGGTACTCATTTCTCTGTCAATCTCCCTTGCAGGCTACAATTGCAGCCAGTAGACAGGCCAGCTCCCCCAACACCAGCACCCCGCAACAGACCACCACCACCCAGGCCTCTGTAAGTAACTGCTCACTCACACACATATCAAAGCCTCCTCCCACCCGCTCCGCCTTGTTCTTACTCCTCTTTGTCTTTTAGGAAGGCAGTCAGCCAGGGAAACAGAGCTTCTAAGAATGCTGGGAATCTACAAGATGCAGACAACTTTGAGGATTTGGGGTGCTATCATTATTGGTGGGGGTTGAGGAGACCAGAGAAGGTTTCTGAGTGGGAGAGGCCTCTTAGCTGGAAACGCAGACAATGATCTCTCTTTGCTGAGGCTTTGGGGATATGTTGTCATGGATTAGAAAAGGATCAGGACTTCTAAGAAGGCGAAGGAGTCATGAGCAGCTTGAAAGGGAGTGCTCTTTTTCTCTTGGGCAGAGTAGTAGTTTGTTGAATGAGAGGAAGTCTGGTTTTGTAGTGAGTATTGAGGAACTGGGATTTGTTCAGAGAGTAGATGAGTTGGTAGCGTAGAGGTTACTTTGTGCGTTTTTTCCTTTACTTGAGAGGCTGGAAAAAATGATGTATTTCTTTTGGATCTCTCATTGCAGTTGCATGCTAACAGTGATACTCAGGCTCAGCATACAAATGAGCTTAGCATCCAGGGCTTTGGCTAGTTTAGACTGCGTTGCCTCTAAGACCAAGCCCTCTAAGACAAGAACTTTTTTCTTCTTGGTCCCCTGTGGGATACAGGAAAAAACTGTAAAATGTCTGTTCTGGCTGTACCCCAGAATTTGTACTTATTTCTTTGCCTCTGCCTCTTCATATACGATTTGGGGCTTTTTTCTGTTTTAAGATCAACCTAGCCACCACGTCAGCTGCTCAGCTGATCAGTCGGTCACAGAGCGTGAGTTCCCCCAGCGCCACAACCCTGACACAGTCTGTGCTCCTTGGGAATACCACCTCACCGCCTCTCAACCAGTCACAGGCCCAGATGTATCTCCGGGTAAGAGATGTGTATGCAAAATGTGTCCTGACCATGAAGCCCACTTCCTAGCCACTTCAGTGTTTCACTGCTTGGGATTACCAACACCTTTGGCCTAACTCTAGCTCTAAGGATGATGCACGATATTTTAAATTCAGATGGGGAAGCTCTTGTCCCTGAAACCACAAGTTTGACTCTGGACTCAGCTTTTGAGGGTAGATGAGCTATTGTAGTGTGTGGCTCAGGTGAGATTGTTAAGAACCATGTTTGTGTCTGCTCTGCATAGATGTTAAAGATCCCATGGCACTTCTCACTAGAGTGTAAATGTGAAACATATGTCCTAGACTTGAATATAGCTCACAGAAATAAAGCTACTTTTCTGGTTCAATGCTGGAACAGATATATGGTAAATTACTCTTCTACCACTGCTGAGCTCAGGGACATAAGTCAGAATTCAAGTAAATCTAGAAATGTAAATCACCATGAACAAATATGTCATCCTTTTAACTGCTTTGAGGTGCTGCTAAATAGAAAACATTAGGCTTGACTATATAGTCAGTCTGGGGTTTGGCTACCTACTTGAAAAATATGAACTGTGTCTCAGTTGACTTTAGATACAGATTGTAATCCCCTTCTTTTCAAGCAACCCTGGTCTTGCATGTATGTCTTTTATCACTGTTTCTCAACCAGTCCTGGATATACATCTGAAAATTCAATGATATCCCAGTCTTTTAGCCAGCAGTCTGGGCAGTCTGTGGGAGTTGGCCCCGGCCCATGTTTGGTAGAAGAGTGCTTGTTTCCATAAGGAAACTGTTCCCAGTTTCCTGCTCCTGAGGGTTATGTTCAGTGTTACAGTGCAGGGAGGGTTGGGGGTTTTGCAATGTGTGACACCGCAGCCCAGTGTTGCTTTGTAATCTGTTTGCTTGTGGTTTGCTGTCTTTCTTTCTCTCTTCCCCTCCATTCCTTTCATTCCACATCACCTGACCCTACCTCAACAGCCACAGCTGGGGAACCTGTTGCAGGTAAACCGGACCTTGGGCCGCAATGTGCCTCTTGCCTCCCAACTCATCCTGATGCCCAACGGGGCTGTGGCCGCTGTCCAGCAGGAGGTACCACCCACTCAGTCTCCTGGGGTCCATGCAGACACAGACCAGGTCAGTGACACCCCCTCCCAGAGTCCTTCCCTTCCCCTGCTCTCTGTCACCCCACACTCTGGTCTTTGTCTCCAGCCATCCCTGTATAGCAGATTAGCTCTATTTTGTCCCCCCCAACCTGTGTCCCTGTGCGGGCAGGAGATTCTGTTCTCTCTTGCCACTGTTTTTTCATGTTTGCTTTTTGCCTCCAGAGATGGGATTAATTTCTGCTTAAAGTTTCTGGGGTGAGCCACAGACTGAATCAATCCCATCTTCACAGTTTCTCGATTGTCCTTGTGTGAAAAGAATTGTGGAATTCTATGTCCAGTTTTCAGTCACTCTGCAATGAAGAGTCTTTGCCAGCGGTAGTATGCCTTCACCCAGTTGGTTTGTTGTACAGATGCCAAAGACCGAACAGGCCACAGGGTCTTAACTCCTGCATTCATCTATAAGTAATTCTCCAGGTCAGGGAGCTGCCATGGCTTCCCATTTTCCTTGTCCTATCCCAGTCATTCTTGGGATTTCCAGTTACTTCATATTTTTCTTGTCTGGAGCTCTTTCTTTGAAGGAAAGTCAGCCATGATCAAACTTGAAGATAACACTGCATTTGGAGGAGCAGTAAATACAGAGGATGGCAGCACCAAAATGCAGAGGAACTGGTGAAATCAGAAGGGCTGCAGGCCATGAGTAGATCTGTGGGCCTGCTGAGTGGAACGCCCTGCACAGGGGGAGGAGGCAGGTGGCACAAAAATTGAAACGGAATGACTGCTCTTTAAAGAGGTATCTCAGCACTTTTAGAGCCATGCTAAACTGGATGCTACCAATGCAAAGGCATGGCAGGCAGGTCTGAAGGCTGTCCCATGCCTCGGAGAATGGCTGCGTCCTCATGTGCTGTTCAGAAAGTGCCACGAGATCTTTAACTTCCATCAGAGATGGGGCAGGAGGGAGTTCAGGATAATGTGTTGCCTGAGCTTTGGCCTGCAATGTTAGCCAGTTCCCCACATGAGACCTGAAGCATCAACTTAGCCTGCGTCCCGGTAGAGCACGTTGCTTATGCGTTCTCTGCCAAACTTCCAGCAAGTAATGTATGTAAAGCAAACAGATCCTCTTTTGTATATGTGTTTCTAGGTGCAGAACTTGGCTGTGAGGAGCCAGCAGACCTCGGCCACTAACGCCCAGCTCCAAGGCTCTGCGCAGAAGGCAGCTCTGCCAGGAAGCTCCCAGGCTTCGGGCTTACCGCAGGCCACCAGCACGGGCCAGACCTTGGCAGTGGCTCAGGCCTCCTCCGGCAGCGCGGGCCAGTCCCTCAACTTGAGCCAGGGGGCAGCAGGCAGCAATGGTGTCTCCGGGGGTGTGGTGGCAAGTGGTGGGAGCCAGACCTCAACGGGGTTGAGCCAGACCTCCTCGGCAGGTGCCGCTGGCAGTTGCCAAAGGAAAGGCACGGGGGTGGTTCAGCCATTACCGGTAGCAGCTGCCCAGGCCGTGACTGTCAGCCAGGGAAGCCAGACGGAGACAGAGAATGCAGCCACAAAGAAGGGCGAAACAGACAGCGGCGGACAGCAAACGGTGGGCATGAACCTGACCAGGACTGCTACACCAGCACCTAGCCAGACGTTGATCAGCTCAGGTAAGTGCAGACCTATTCCTTCTCTTCGAGCCCACTGGGCTTTCGCAAGAGCGCCATTTGAAAGCCCAGTGGTGAAAGGTTTTCTGACATGCCTCCCAGCCTCTGGGCTCCCGGAGGCTTGTCTCTAGGGGTTATCCCTCTCTATTAGCAAGAGTAGTTGATTTAGTCCCTCATGTCCTCTGCCAGTAAGCTGTCAGTCATTTTGGAGCTTAATGACTCAAACCAGTGCAGTGGCTGCCTGCCTTTTTTTTTGTTGTTATTGTTGTTCCCAGCTGCACTGTTGCTAACTTTTGTGCTCTCCTCTTTTCCCACTCTGTGTTTGGATAGCCACATATACACAGATCCAGCCACACTCACTGATCCAGCAGCAGCAGCAGATCCACCTGCAGAAGCAGGTGGTGATCCAGCAGCAGATCGCCATTCATCACCAGCAGCAGTTCCAGCACCGCCAGTCTCAGCTCCTCCACACAGCCACCCATCTTCAGCTGGCCCAACAGCAGCAACAGCAGCAAGCACCATCTCTGACCCAACAGCAGCAGCAAGCTCAACCTCCGCAGCAGCAGGCTCCACCTCAAAACCAGCAGCAGGCTCAGACCCTCGTGGTGCAACCTATGTTGCAATCCCAGCCACAGCCTGTGCAGCTCCAGCAGGACAGTCCTTGCCAGCCAGCCACCAAGTCACCTGTTCCAATTCAGTCAAAATCTCTGGTCACCCCCATCAAACCACCTCAGCTTGGGCCTGCCAAAATGTCAGCAGCACAGCAGCCTCCACCACACATCCCAGTGCAGGTGGTGGGTACTCGGCAGCAGGGCTCAGGCCAAGCCCAAGCACTGGGTTTAGCTCAGATTGCTGCAGCAGTGCCGACATCCCGGGGAATGCCAGCTGTGGTCCAGCCTGTTTCCCAAGCCCATGCTGCTTCCCCGTCATTGTCTTCAGCTCCAGCATCCTCACAGGAAGCTCCTCCTCTCACCACAGGGGTGAATTTGGCACAAGTTCAAGGCACGGCCCACATGGTGAAGAGCCCAGCCTCCTCTCCAGTTGTGGCTCAGATGCCAGCAGCATTCTACATGCAGTCTGTCCAGTTGCCAGTAAGTGATACCATTGAGAAGGAGAATAGCATATGGATTCTCTTTGTTCATTCCTAGGACACCAATCGCAGTCCAGGCCCAGGTCAGTGGGATGGGATGGGTAAGGGGTTTGGGTAAAGGGATGTGGAGACTTTTCCTCTCGAAAACACTAATTCCAGTCCAAACCTTGGGGTTACTGACTACAAGCATTTCTTTTCCACATTATGATTCAAAGGCTTGCATGAAGTAAATAGATGAGACTCAGACCCTGCCCCAAATGGGGTAGGTGTCCATATTGCATACTAAATATCACATTTAACAATGTGGTGGGTTAACCTTGGCTGGCTGCTGGGTGACCACCAAGCTCCTCTATCATTCCCCCTTCACAGCAGGACAGGGGGAGAAAAATACAACGAAAAGCTCGTGGGCCGAGATAAGGACAGGGAGATCACTTACCAATTACCATCACAGGCAAAACAAACTCGGTTTAGGGAAATTGATTTAATTTATTGCCAATTAATCAGAGTAGGATAATGAGAAATATGAACAAATCTAAAAAAACACCTCTCCCCCTTTTTCACAGGCTCAACTTTTTACTCCCGACTCTTCTAGCTCCTCCCCCTGAGCGGTGCAGGAGGTTGGGGAATGGGGGTTGTGGTCAGTTCATCACACATTGTCTCTGCTGTGCCTTCCTCCTCACGCTTTTCCCTTGCTGCAGTGTGGGATCCCTCCCATGGGATACAGTTCTTCATGAGCTTCTCCAGTGTGGGTCCTTCCCACAGGCTGCAGTTCTTCATGAACTGCTCCAGCATGTCCTTTCCACACGGGCTGCAGTCCTTCAGGAATAGGCTGCTCCAGCGTGGGTCCCCCATGGGGTCACAAGTCCTGCCAGCAAACCTGCTCCAACGTGGGCTCCTCTCTCCATGGGTCCACAGGTCCTGTCAGGAGCCTGCTCCAGCATGGGCTGCTCACAGTGTCA